GTGGTTTAGAGGTCCACCGTGGTTTAAAGGTCCACCGTGGTTTTAAGGTCCACCGTGGTTTAGAGGTCCACCGTGGTTTAAAGGTCCACCGTGGTTTAGAGGTCCACCGTGGTTTAGAGGTCCACCGTGGTTTAGAGGTCCACCGTGGTTTTAAGGTCCACCATAGTTTAATGGTTCAAACTGCGATGAGTTACCGTCAACTGTGTATGTAGCGGGTGTTGTCGACAATGAAAGAACTGATAGACTGGCTTGCATAGTCATAGTTGCAGATGACCAGATTACGCATTGCACTAGCTTGAGAGAGAAAGAGAGAGAGAGAGAGAGAGAGAGAGAGAGAGAGAGAGAGAGAGAGAGAGAGAGAGAGAGGAGAGAGGGAGAGAGAGGAGAGAGAGGGAGAAAGTGAGAGAGAGAGAGAAGAGAGAGAGGGAGAGAGAGAGAGAGAGAGAGAGAGGAGAGAGAGAGAGAGAGAGAGAGAGAGAGAGAGAAAGAGAAAGCGAGAGGAAGATCAGAGGATTGAGAGAGAGACTGAGAGAAAAAGAGAGACAGAGATAGGACGATCAAAGAATGTTGAGAGTTTTATTCCACATTGATGCTAATAATGCAAGAATCTGGAATAAAATTGTCTGAATAAGTATTGCAAACCACATAGGACTGGCTAACTAACCTCAGGACGCTTATGTATACATATATTTTTTTTTATCCTTAACCAATGTTCATTCACTGTCTATCAAAAATATGAAAAACAATATTTCACAACAAAACATGTATCAAACATCATTCTTTTTTGTCCATCTGTCAAAGCTCAACTTTTCAATTCACTATAGATGTAACATACAGAAACACAATCAGCTATTCAGGCCAAAATATCCCCACCTATTTTTATTTGGCCACCTTACATAACACTATGGGATCTATCACACATCCATTCATTTATTTATATACTCAACATCCATTCATTTATCTATAACATCCGTTCATTTATCTGTAATATTCATTCATCTGTAACATTGGTCATCCATAACATTCATTCATATGTATATACCAGAACAGATTTCTGTCTCTTACACTTTACACCTTACAATCACATACAAGGCAGCAGCACAGAGTTTAGTTGATCTCAGGGCCTTCTCCTCCTGGAACCAACATTGTAATGTTATTCCCGTTTAACAACAGCTTGTCCAGTTTTGTCACTCGTCTACCTTCTGGTGTGCTTTCAAACTCTGTGACATCCTCAAGAACCATGTTGACAAAATCGTCAAACCCTAAAAGAATTCCGACAATCTCTTTATCGTTCTTCATGATGATGTGAATTCTGGATCCAATACACTTGTCCACCAACTCGAGTGGTAAAAGTTGCGTTGGGTTTGTGAACGTGCCCGACATTTTGCAATAAGGAAAACGCTTATGTATATGCTGGAGAGGGAATCTGAGCACCTATGGTCGCGTCTGGAGTGCCGTAAAGTAACAGAACTCATCACTTTCTCAGCTATCCACCCCATTTATCATCCATCTGTCCTTATGGCTATCTAGCTCTACTAAATTTTCCCGGTATATAAATTCATTTGATTAATATACAAGATTTTCTCGTTTGTCTTTGAAAAATGCATTTATAATATAGCCCTATTGAATTTCACGTAACCCTGATGTATCCTGTAAAGTGGCGTGTATGTTGTGCCGCTGTGTGAATGTGCGCCGTAGAAAGCGGTTTATCCCGGCATTCCCGGAAACGCATGACCGACCCCGAAAGGCCGGGACCTGTGAATGATAAGTGAATTAGCTAACGGTGGTTCTGGCTTTATCCGAAACGTTTACCCGTATCATGATATCTCCCCCGGTGTCGGGACCTACCTGTGTGGTCCTCGGTAGTGTGGTTTGGTGACGAGTTTCTTCTATTGTCGGAACGGGAGATAATATAAATGGGTGCACGTCATTGCCGAGGCTGAACCGATGTGGTTCAGGAGATTCGAGGTTTCAAGTGGTCGTGAAGATTTCAAGCAGACAAGTGAGCCGCGGTAGTGGCTAGACGCTCGTCTGCCCGCCCAAAGGACTTGGATTCGAATCCGTATCGAGACGGAGTTTTAAAAAGGACCTTGGCCCCGAGGTCAGTCTAGTCTAACTAAAATGGTATCTAGTAATTTAACGAGAAGTAAAGGCGGATGGCGTTGTGTTGAGCACATCACACACTGAATACCGATTAGTCCATACAGGTGTCCTGTGGATGCAGTTTTTCGTTATTTGAAGCCCCATTCTGGATTTTGCTGGGGGCCCTGAAAATAGCCGGACCTAACGACGGAAAGGGGCTTCTGGAATCTCTCCACGGGTGATCCTCATCGCATGGTGTCACTTTGTCACCCGGTGCTTATCGCTTGTGTGATGTCCTCGTTGGGTACAACAAGAGAGAGAGAGAGAGAGAGAGAGAGAGAGAGCGAGAGAGAGAGAGGGAGGGAGAGATTAGTCTATACAATATGAGTCTAGCATCATACGACAGGCGTTACTAGCGAGAAAAGTTTCCTTATGTAATAAGAAGAACACCATAGCGGAAGCATGCACAGCAGGAGTCTACCGATCTTCAGTAGGTTTCCCCCTTTCAACAGCTGTTTCGGCCCGTTTACCTCCTGGACAATCTCGAGGGGCCGGCCGACCTGTGTCATGACCTGTGGGTCACTGGGGTTTCGGAAGTCGTGACGATTTCAGGTTCGTCGCAGACAATATTTCAGGTTTTTGGAACGAGTCACTGCAGGCGTTATCAGAAGAGCTACAATCAGGAATTAGGTCATAAGAGGATGGCATGAAACGATGCTTCTGTTATTGCCTGGTAATGCTTTTTACATTTAAAAAAAAAAAAAAATTATACATCGATAATTATACTCATAAAATAAGCAATGAAATTTTTTTTTAATAAATTAAAAAAAAAAAAATTCAAAGACAGCTAGTCAAATGGTTTGCCCACTTAAAGAATGTATTGTGACGCCATACCATATAAGGCATATACTAAAAGAGGAGACGGATCATGAGGTAGACCAACAAGAACATGGAAAGACAACAACAGAGAAACTCAAAAGGCTTCAGTCCCAGCTTCTCTCTTCTCCTTAACAAGGTTTAAAAACGATGTCTGATTCTGATGTTTGTGATAAGGTGACTTCTCACAAATGCCTTTTTCAAACTTTTTTTTCATCCTCCTGTCTAATTGATTTTAAACCTCCTGCTGTAAAATCACATCTCTGAGACCTAGTGAAATTGTTTGGTTTGATTTGCAAAACAGTTTACGTTAACTCCTCCTCTACCCCCCCCCCCCCCCCACTAACCCGATCCCCCTCTTCAGCTGCTAGAATATGTTTGAATGAGGGGCACACGTGGCCTCAACCTACAGGTTTCGTCGTAACCCATGTTCCTTCGCAAAGGAAATGTAAATGACGCGTAAGAACAGCCGACTATAGATACAGGCCCGGGTTTACGATACAATCATTTGCCCGGTGAATTAGACAAACAAAAGGCAATTTATAGGTACTTTACTAAGCCAATAAAGGCCCCACGTTATCTATTAAATTATGTATTTTCTTATATTATATGCATTATATTGTATTATTATGATAATGCATACAAACAAAACTGCCATGGAGAAGGAAATATATGTTAATGAGGAAAGATTGGAAGTGGTGGAAAATTTCGAATATCTTGGGTCACTGGTTACCAACAATGGTGACACAATGAAAGAAATTAAACGGCGACTATCAATTGCTCTTCAAAGACTAAAACAACTGAATAAATTATGGAATTGTACAGATAGAATTACAAAGGCCAGATTTTTAAGAGCATGCATCTTTCCCATTGCAACATACGCCTGTGAGACCTGGACACTTACTAAGGAACAGCGCATAAATGCATTTGAATATAAATGTTACAGGCAGGTTCTAAGAATATCTTGGGTAAAGAAAAGAACAAATGCATCCATACTTCAAGAGCTGAATATTGAAGAGGGTTGGCTAGTAAAGAGAATAAAACAAAGAAAATTGAAATATTTTGGTCACTTGAAACGTCATGGAAGTCTAGAGAGAACAATAATGGAGGGGTATATGCCTGGGAAGAGAGGAAGAGGAAGGCCAAGGAGAAGATGGGTGCAGGATGTGGCAGATGATCTCCAGATGGGTGTATCAGACGCAGGACATCTTGCTCAGGATAGGAAGGTTTTCCGGAGGGTTGTTATGGCAGCGAGGTTCCGCGAGGGACATGCTACTGAATGAATGAATGAATATTGTATTATATTGTATTATTATAGTGTATTATATTGTACTATATTGAATTATATTGTATTATATTGTATTATACTGTATTATATTGTATTATATTGTATTGTATTAAGTAGAAATTAAGACTTGTAACAAAAGGTGACAATATAGGTCCTTGTTTGAACAGCAGAAAAAAATTTGCTATGTGTTCCCAGAATAAAAGAAACTTCTCCACGCTTTCATGCTTATTGCACATATAGGGATAAGCCTATATTTTATAGACCAATCGGTACTTGGTGATTGATGTGGTCAACATCACGCTGGCCCCCTTTACTTCCCAGGACTTTATCTGATACCCATTTAAGACTTGGTCGACCAGGAAGCCAAAGTAATTTTTTTAAAGAAAAAAGTCTGATCCGTCAGGACTTGAACCCACAACCTTTGGATCCACAGCGAGCATTGTTCCTAATGTAGGTAACTAATAATTATGATATCCTTCCCATCTAATCCTTTACTCTGGAATCATGCAGTAAGCTTCCATCATGTCAAAGGCCTTTGTATAATCTATAAAACAGGCATACATACTTTTTCTGAACTTGTATATATTTTTCTGTCAGCATCTTCAAACAAATTCTGGCTTACCCGGTGCCCCGATTTTCCCAAAACCTAAAGTGTTCTTCAGACACTTCGCCATTTGTTTCATTGTGAATTCTTTAACTGTATTCTAAACTGCCATCCACAGATCATGCTTAACTCTCTCCACAAGTGTACGAGCCGCGCCTGCACGTGGTCAAGGTTCAACTCAAGGGCGCCAAGAATCGAAGGACAATCCTCACATTCGGCTTCCCGGAGGCCCAGTTTTATCGCTGTCAACCGCCTACCAGAACGAGGAGGTTGAAATTATTGCTAATTTTTCAGGACTTGGCTCTTAAAAATGGTTTCGTACACTGTTGTGAGCAAATGAAAGTAGATCTCTATATAAACAAAAGAAAGAGCCAAACACTGTCTTTGGACCGCCTAATGAGAAGAGAGGCATTGGAGAACATCGTGACAAACTGGAAGGATCAGTGGAAAAAGGAGTAGAGGCAAGACCGAGAGAGCTGACCGGATGGATGGCTGAAACTATGGCATGGAGGGATATCATCAAGAGAGCTGTTCCAGGCAACCAGGGATCGTGATCTGTTGGAGGTGCATGAGCGCCTACCGCCAGTTGGCAGGGCACATCATGATGATGGACACTGTTGTAATGTTGTAAATATCGCTGTTAAAGTTGTCTGTGTTATTGTAAATATAATTTATAGTAGATTGAAACAGCAAATCTGGAAATATTCTGTTTTTGAACACACACATTTTTTTTTTTCTGAAACAAAATGTCTCAGTGTCCGAACAAGTAGTCTGACTACGGAGGTCATGGCTGTGACTAAAGCAGTAACATGGCTAGAGACACAGACTTTCACTCGAGCATGCTTTCTCAGTGACTCGATGAGTATGCTCAGGAAGATAGAGAAAGGCTGGGTCCGAAGGCGGTGGTTGGTTGCTCTACAGCATTCACGGCTGACAAGGATTAGTTTTATTTTCATGCCAGGACATGTAGGGGTACAAGGAAATGAGTAAGCTGATACGCTTGCAGGTAAGGCTACTGTGAAAGCCGGACAAGCCATGGACCAGGCTGATATAATGAATGCTCTAAGAGGGTTAAGACGTTTGCGTTGACCAACCTAGAACTGTGAATCTGCAACCATGGTCAGACTGCAAAAACAACAAGTTAAACCATGTGGCGCTAAACAAGAACACTACGGGAGTAGCCAAAGAATAAGAATAAACCAACACAGAACTGGTGTCGTTAGCCGCTACACGCTGCGGGATTTACTGAGGAGGGGATCCGAGCACTTATGGAATGATTGGTTCTACGTGCAGGGAGGATAATCTGTCGAGTAACTAACTAACAGAAGTTTGGTTCTTGGACAGCAATCCTTAAACTACACGCTTCATAGGATGAGATTGCTACAAAAGAGCGATTTCCGTTCAGTGCAGATTCCTACTATATAGATGGTCTAGTTTCTTGTCACGATTTTTTTGGGCAATACTCATGAATGAGCACATTCCAGGTTAGGCGGAATGCTGATTGAAGTTGATGTTGTCACAGTGAGGTTGCTGTCTCCTAACACAACTCTTATAATTCAATTCCTGTCCTTGTAATCTTTAAGACACTCTACTCAAAAGCACTGGTGGGAATTAGCCTGCGTGGAGAGAAACCAACAGTCTGCATACAAATAACTGATTCTGTAAGAAAGATGTGCAACGCAAAACTGAAGTTCTGAAACAAGACCGTAACTTTCAGTCGCAGTGAGAAGCTGGCGACCGCGAAGACAAATTAATTTAAAAAAAAACCCACATAAATTATGTCATTGCACCGGGTTTTCCCCCATATGGCTTAGTCTCTCCCCAGAAAGTATCATCGCCTGCCGATCGCCAGCAATCTTAGTAAAGACTGCACTGCTGGACCGAACGATTTAGTTCGAACCGAAGACCTTCATAGTACTACAATATATGAGAAGATATTAAACCAGACGTAAAAGTAGAATCAGTCAGCTTCACGTTTTTACAAACACAAACGACAAGTCTCCCCGCGTGGGTTCTGGGGCTCTGTTGTCGGGAAAGCATGAATAGAACCACTGCCTCTCCAAGCATGTCGTAATAGTAGACTAATTAGGAGTTTCCTTCGAAGTCAGAGTACTTTTGCGTGAGAGGCAAAGAACCAACAGTATACATACAAATAAGTCAGATCTGTAAAACGGATGTGTACACAAAACTTTGGTTCTGTAACAAATCTAAAAGTCAGAAGGTAGATGAACAACTAAAACTTTCCGCAGGCGTTTACAGCCTGTGGAGGTGTAGAAGAAGAAGACAAACGACAAGTAAACTTTAGCAATAGAGCCTTCATTAGCAGACAACAAGAATACACTATACCAAAATCACGGGCAAGAATACATAAAATCACTTAACTGAGGTCTCTCCGAGACGAATCACATATCTATCTGACCTGCCGAATATGTGATACATGTGTGACCAACGGAAATAAATAATAGCCAGGGAAAGATGTGAACTGGAAGGACCGTAGCTCACAAATATTAGATACAATTGTGGTGGATGTTAAATCTATTAGACAAACTGGAGTCCATGAGACTACACAGCGATAGACACAGCAGCTTCAAGCTTTTCGCGACAGAGATCCCCCTCCCCATCCCCACCCCATTGTGGACACGGCAGATGTTTGTATTCTTTAACTCAGTGTTTCCCAAACTCTTCAATTACAATGTTTCCACGGCGCTCTAACCTAAGTAAAAGTAAGACTATTCGTGTATTGGTTAAATTAATAATGCAGCTTTTACACAATTTCGCGGCGCCCCTGTCCAGAGACCGCGGCTCCCTGAGGCGCCGCGGCGCACAGTTTGGGAATCACTGCTTTAACTGATATATTACAAATTACCTTATTGTGTATTTCTCCTTTTTCTCCCCACCACCGGTCCCACAACAGATCACAGCTTTGAAGATTAAGCATAATCCTTTCGCGAAAGCTTTCCTGGATGCCAAAGAAAGGTAAATGCATCATTTCTCTGTTAGTTACAGTTGCTTCAGGGCCTAGGAATGCCTAGATGTTAAGTGCCTTCAACCACTGAAGGATAATTTTCGAAGCCATTCAATCATCAAATTTGTAAAGGTGCTAAGATGTGCTAAGGTTCTATTTTTAAGCTTTGGATTATTCATGTCTAATGCCGGGGTGCCGGATTCGATCCCAGCTGCGGGCCATGCGTCTTGCGTTGGTTTCGACAGTGGTATCAAGAAAGTCGACCGTTCAGTGGGAATGGCAAACTACTGGACGTAAATTTGCCTAGAACAACCACACAACAACCAGGGGCATTGGTGTTGGTTCTGCAACGTCCTGTAAAAATACTCAACTAACCTTTATTCATGTTGTCGGCGTCTGCGTCTTAGGCGTTGCGAACGCGCTTCGTAATGCCGGGGCCCCGGGTTAGATCTCAGCTGCAGGAGATTTGGCAGCAGACCGCCTTGCATTTGTTTTGACAGCGGTATCAAGAGCTGACAGTCCAGAAAGCAATGACAAACTACTAGACGTAGAAAACCACAACAGCTAAAAATGCTGGGGTTGGTTCTGCAACGCCATGCAAAGAAGACTCAACTAACTGTAACTTATTCGTATCATATTATTTCAAATATAATATTATCGGTTTTTTGCCATTTAGCACATAATTTTTTTATTACTGGTTAGTTGCCTATCCTTTACAGGACGTCTAACCCCAGCAGCCCCGGGCTGTTGTGTGGTTTTTCTAGGAAAATTTACGTCCAGTGATTTGCAATTGCTTACTGGACGGTCGGCTTTCTTTCTCTGTGGCTATGGCGATGCGAACGCTTCGTAATGCCGGGGTGCCGGGTTTGATCCCAGCTGCGGGGCATGCGCCTTGCGTTGGTTTCGACAGTGGTATCAGGGAGCTGACCGTCCAGGGAGCAATGGCAAACTACTGGACGTAAATTTGCCTAGAGAAACCACACAACAGCCAGGGGCTGCTGGGGTTGGTTCTGCAACGTGCTGTAAAGGATACGCAACTAACCTTTCATTCACCGTTTTCATCTTCATCGTCATGATCATGATCATGATCATGATCATGATCATCATCATCATCAACAACAACATCATTACCATCATCATCATCATCAAGTACATTGCCGACTGGCGTTGGCGGTCATGCCTCTACTCGATCTTCAGAACTTTGTATCAGTTCGTGTGTTGACACCATTGCAGGCCATGACAAAGGCTGCCAAGAATTGTCGTTCGTTGTCTTCCTGTCTCCCCACAAATATTTCCAGTGGTCACAATATGTTCCAGTCCTATTAAAAAACCTATTTGTAATGTAAATGATACCAGGTCACATCGCCTCTATAAAATGGGGTGGCGATTTGAGAAACTGTTGGAACAGCTGAACTATTAATTTCGTTCACTTTTTTGTTCATTATCCTGTTGTGCCATTTTGTGTCACATAGGGCTGGCAGTCTGTCTATTCCATATTTCCTGTGCAATCAGTACAATATCATGGATGGAATCCAGTCCAGCAGCTTTGGCCTCTCTCATGAACATTCGTTTTAGGGTTTCTTTTGGTGATTCTCTGCTATTTCTTCTAAGATATTTCTCTTATTTCTTTACATTTTTTAAATTCGTTATATTTTATAAAAAAATCTCCTCAGACTTTTGTTATCGAATGCAATTGACTTTGGTTCCATTTCTTTAGTGGTTCTCCTCCATTCACTTACATATGTTATGCTGTACTATACCCATGTATATACAGGTTAATTGCTAGTCGATGGGTCATGGTCACGCCGACAGCCTCCCCCCCCCCCCTTCCCTGTACAACACCTGGTGTCCATATTAGGATCGGTTGGCCTGTGAGTTTCTGGTTTAATATAAATTCTGTTTTACCGTGGAATCTCTTTTTCGCGTTCATAGACTGTAAACTCCAATGGAAAGTTTTGGTTGTTCTTCCACCTCTGGGCTTTAGTATTGTTCCAGAACCTGATTGTTGCGTGCACATCCGTTTTACAGATCTGAAATATTTGTATGCAGACTGTTGATTCCTCGCCTTTCGGGAAGATGCACTCCGACGTCGAATGGAAGCCCCAAACAGTCGACTGTTACGACATGCTTATTTAGCCTTCCCCCCCCCCCCCCCCAACAATGGGACACCAGAACCCACACGTAGAACTGTGGAATCGAACACAGGATCTTCAGGTCGGTATACAAACCTCTAACTGCTGCACTGGAGGAGGGGGTGGGGGGAACTTTTCTGTCTTTCCAGACGATAGTGTTGCGTTGCATTAAACAGGAAGCAGCTCATGTTTGTCCTCTTCACAGCACAAAGCCTGGGCAATATTGTAGAACAGAAAGACCCTCTTAGGTCTGCCTTGTTTACCCCAAAGAAAAGATAACAACAAAAGGCCTGGGAACATCGCATTGACTTTGCCTATGCAAGCTTCAAGATTTTGATCAAGGCTGCCATTTCACTATTCAAAATGTAAATATTTTTTTAAAGGTCTGACATTTCATACCCAAACAACTGTATCTGCTGTTTGATTGCTTTGACCGCTACTGACCTAATCCTTGTGTCCACCCCAGGCCTGATCAAAGAGATTACGCAGATGATTCAGCATACGAGCAAGAGCGAGGCTTCTCACATTGTAGGTGATATGTTCAACTGCTTATTTGTCTGTGTGTATGTCTCTACATTTATGTATGTTTTATGTTTATCTTTCAATTCATCTATCTGTCTATACATCCGTCTGATTGTCTCTCTTTGTGTCATTCAGTTCAACCCTCTTGCCCTCGCTCTCCTTTCATTTTTCCTCCCACCTCCACTCATTAATTCACCCCTTCCTCCTCTCCGCTTCCTCCATCCACGCATCCATCCATCCATCCATCCATCCATCCATCCATCCATCCATCCATCCATCCATCCATCCATCCATTTTTCTATCCACCCACCCATCCATCATGCATTCATTCATCTATGCATTCATCCACGCTTCCATCTATCCATCCACCCATCCAACCATTCACCTATCTATTTATCTGTAATTTGTTTATACGAGACAAAGTCTGACCAAGCCTGTATGTACAGTCCATAATCACTACATATTTCCATCTCATACCCCTCTCCACAAATGTTAAGCTTTAGCACCAGTATTATGTAGCCCGTGGGTTTCTAGGCTCCTGGGAGGGATGGAGGGTTTTGAAACGGTACACCATTTCCTTATACATGGGAGGAGATCGGGTAGACGGAAGGAAGACATCAGGTTACAACAGCACGATGTGCGAAGGGCCCAGAAGATCTAGACAACAGAAACCTCTCGTCCCACACCCAACTCGGTATACTCTCAAGAAATCTGCCAGCCCGTATTAGGACTGAGATGACCTTGAATTAAACGTGTAGCACTTGAGGGTCAAAATTATACATGAAGACTGTAAGTCAGTTAATTATCCATGCAACTGATCAATCAGGTAATTAACCAACCAACTAGTTGACTATCTGGTCAATCAGAAAGCAACTATATAAGCAACTCACCAACCATAAAATAATTAATCAACTAATCAGACAATCAACCTATCTATCATCCAGATAACTAACAAGTTAACTAGCCTGCCAGCCAGCCACCCAATCATTTGACATACTAATTAAGAAGCCAATCGTCTAGATAATAAAATATTCAGCTAATCAATTATTAAGTCAACCAACCAATCATTCGACAAACTAATTAGCAAGCCAATCATCTAAATAATTAGATTTTGAGCTAATTATTCAGTCACCCAACCAATTATTGAGTCAATCAGTTAATCAACTAACAAATCGGCCCCCGTGCTAATCAATCAAGGACAAATCAACCGCCAACATGGCAGCCACTAAACTAGCCAGCCAAACAGTTTAACAACTCACCACACAGCCAACCAACATACTACTCAGCTAATCAACCAGTCAGCCAGCCAACCATCCATACAACAAACCAACCTTCCCAACAATACTCTAATCACAATTAAATGCTCCTTATGCAATCCTGCATCTCTCTATCTCTTTCTCTCTCTCTCTCTCTCTCTCTTTCTCACTCACTCTCTCTCTCTCTCTCTCTCTCTCTCTCTCTCTCTCTTTCTATCTCTCTCTCTCTCTGTCTCTCCATCGAATTCACATCCTTACATATATCTATTTGCTTTCAGTCGCTGCATCCTGGTACCTACCGTCGACCCCCCACTCCCTGATCCCACCTCCCGCCCATCAGTTCCCTCCTGCATCTAGGCCTGGGGGACTCCCAGTGTGAAAGACTGAGCTTCAGAAATCCCAGACAGTGTTACCACCCCTACCAGAGGCGTCGATCAGCGGTGGATTACGGTGAGTCTCTGTCCACAACACCAGTGGCTACACCACTGTGGTCAGTACTATGGGTTTTTATGTAATGTTACGTTTTAACAATCGACGCCAATGCACATTAGACCTTTCATTAAGTGCTCAGTCTTCCGAGGCATCAGCCACTCCAAGGTACCTCTAATCACTGTTCCAGTGAGAAGACGGTTCTAGTGTCTTCCATCTTGACCTCGAAGACGACATGGACCTGCTTCGTCAGGCTTGGCGCACAGGTCACACAATCGCGTTAGCGTCAGAGAAACTCCATTACCTCCCAAACGTAGATAGTATCTGCACTGTCCATGCTTCTTCCAGTCTTCTTACTGCAGCATGCCCAAGTGTGTAGATCCAAGTGATGGAGGTTAACTGCAACTTCTGAACGCCTTCTACCCATTCAGAGGGAGACTCCATGTTTGTGAATTTGTATGCGTGAAACTGACCAATACATAGATGGCTTCCGCAGTAGTCAGTGTGGTGTTTGTAAATAATCAGTATCGTATTTGTATGTGTGTAATTGCCCACTACATTGTTGGATTTTAGAGTGGTCAGTGTCGTGTTTCTATGTGTGAAATACGTCTGAAGTCGTGAAAATGGGGTCCTTTACTTTATTTACTGACCACTACATCGTCAGCTATCAGAGTGGTCAGTTCCATATTTGTATGCGTGTAACTGACCACTATATCGTCGGCTACCATAGGTGCAAATACCTTGTATGTAACTATCCACAACTGAACCGCTAGTTCTTGCGTAGGTCCTGCTAGGGACTTGGTTATCACAACACGAGAGGAACACCAGCGGCGTATATCGCATATATTGTCAGACCATTTGTCACTCAGGGGGTGCCGTGGTCCAATATCATGCGGTTAAATGACATTGTTAACACTGAAGATTCATTTTTACGTTGTGGTACGCATCAGGCCTTTTATTTATAATACGGTATTATATATATTATATATCATACGGATATATTATATATATATATATATATATATATATAATATATATATATATATATATAATATATATATACAAAAAGCCGATCTGTACTTGATGGGTGATCTGGTCAACTTCAAACCATTAGCGTTTGACAAAGAATTTTATCAAAAGTTCGGTTAGTATTTGTGCGTTAATAAGGTAGTGTGTCGTAATGCCGGTTGCCGGGTTCAATCCCAGCTGCGGGCCTTTCACCTTGCGTTGCTTTTGACAGTGGTATCGAGAAGCTGAGCGTCCAGAAGGCTATGGCAAACTACTGGACGTAAAGTTGCCTAGATAAACCACAACAGCCAAAAAATGCTGGGGTTGGTTCTGCAACGTCCTGTAAAGGATATGCAACTAAGTTTAAGTTAGTGAGTTTGTTTGTCACAGTTCCAACTTCACAGCAAACGAGTCATCAAACGAGTCATCAAACGGGTCATCAAACGAGTCATCAAACGAGCCATCAAACGGGTCATCAAACGAGTCATTAAACGGGTCATCAAACGGGTCATCAACTGCCCCGTTCCTGCGCCAGCGAGACTCCACAGAACGTCCATCGCTGCCCCTTCTGAACGAACTGAAACAAGACTACAGTCTCAGCAAAACCAATAGCATACACATGCATTAAATGCATGGGGCACTTTGTGTTGCGTTTAGTTACTTATTGACGGAAACGAATGTGTCAAACTACAAGACGGAAGTGACGTGCCGGAGGGCTCGATTGTCAATATGTCGGACAGACCAAAACGAATGATGGCGACATCGCTGGGCACTGAGAAACAACAGAAACATCAGAGGACAGAAGAAATAAGGAGAACGGACCGAGAAAACGTGTTTTCGAGACGCCGGCACAGATTCGGTTGTTGGTGTTTGTTGGCCCCGTTTGGGCATACAAGCTGACCTTTGGATAGGGGTATTAGCACGTGCCGGCATGACTGACTGCCAGTGGAGTAGTTTTAAGTTTCTTTGTATACATTACTACAGGTCAAAGGTCAGAGTTCATATTTTAAAATAGTTCACTCTCAGCCACATTAGGCTTCAGGGCGAGGACTCACTTTCTGGTGGAAACAACAACATAACAGACTGAATCGCCTCTTGGCAATCATGTCGTAAAGGCGAACAATTAGGGATTTGTTGAAATCGACGTATTGGACGGTGAGGTGCATATTTCGCAGCCCAGCTGTAAACCATAATACAACTTGTCGGCCGTCATTTTAAGGGCAAACGCAGAAGAAAAAGGTCAGCAAGTTACAACATAATCCACATGCGTCCCAAAATCACTGTGTTATTTCGATTAAACAGGATTTCTGTGTGCTGCTGTTTGTTTCCCATCTGAATAGTGACTCTTTGAGTTTTAATCTTGTACATAGTTATCACGGAAAGGGTAGGGGAAAAGGGGGTGGGGGAGGGTGAAAGAAAACGGTACAATTAACGATTCCGGGCCCATTGATGTTCGCTAATCTTTCACACATGCTAGTCTAAGTTAGAGGGGGGTCAAGTTGTGTTCTATTGTGTATCTATTGTGCGTTCTGTGAGCGACCAGGTACATTGTGAGTTTTACTCGTTGTTCCGAGCGGCCGGTGACATTGCGTATATTCTAGCCTTCTCGGACTTCCAGGTACGATATGAATTTACTTCAGTTGTCAGTGTTGACCACCGACAAGAAAGTCCGACCGAGAAAATGTTAACAGTTCTGAAAGTACGGAACGCAGGCTGCAGTCTCTCATGGGAGATAGGCTGAGCCTGTAGTGTGGGTGGTTGGGGTTAGCGACAGTTCTAAATCTTCTGGGGTCATTAAAAACGGGCATATTGTGTAATATCTAGCAGCGTCATCGCTGGTGAGAGCGTCGAGACAGTACCACATGACACCCCTGTAACTTAGACTAGCGCGTCTCAAAGGTTAACACGCATGAATGAACGGCCAATCACAGTTTGGCTGGGCCCAGAAAAGTTAGGTGTACCAGGAAAACGTTTAAAATAGTTTTGAAAAGAGGAACGTAACTATTATTGCAGATACTCTGATGTGATGAATGAATGAATGACTGAATGAATGAATGAATGAATGAATGAATGAATGAATGAATGAATGAATGAATGAATGAATGAATGAATGAATGAATGAATGAATGAATTGACATCCGTGTACTCGGTATATTCCCATAGGTGTTTCAAACTCCTCCCTAAGTAGCCAATTAAATTCGGTATGCCATCTTTTCTTGGCATATGCTAACAGTATCACTTGCAACCTGAATAAACCCCGCCTATGTTTTCTCCTTAGTGTTGACTATCTTGAACACCCCCTGCTCCCCCTCCGCTGAATGTCTCAATGTATGTAAACTTGGCTTGTTCTCTTGTACTGTCCACTTGATCCTACACACCCTTCACCACTTCCGCTTTATCACAAAGTCCCTCACCACCTGCGTCAGCAGTCGATCTTTCAACATGCTCATTACCCACACACCATGCATATCCGGAACAGAAAATCCACAGTATACCCCTGATCCGAGCCTTATCACGCCGCTTTAGGTGTTTTACATCAGTTTCTATTTTCCGAACAAACCTTGCCTCCCAGATCGATCTAGCCTAAAATGTGTACTAGTTAAAGTCAGAGGAAGTAAATTTGGCCAGCGTGGTGGCGACCGCATCATCTATCGAGGTAAGAAAGGCAGGTCAATAAAAATATGAGCCAAGCATTATATACACAACGCGCCACTAGTGTGACTTTACTAATTTGCTATTGCTTACTGTGCGATCGACGACCATATCCTTGTCGAAATCCAGGTAAAACGGTTACCTTGTCCTGATCACCAAGTTACTCAGTTACTGCTATAAAATCTTACTCCGGTGATCAAGCCCTCAGTTACTCAGTTTACTGCTATAAAATCTTACTCCGGTGATCAAGCCCTTAGAAAATCATTTCATTTACCTTTCTGGGTTTCTGAGTCTTGCAGGGACCAACATTCAACACGCCTTTATTTATTGCTTTATTAAGTTATTTGGTAATCTTTTTGTTTGTTTTTTTTATTTTTGTTATTATTATTTTTTTTTTTTGTCGTTTAATTCAGTTAATCAATGTATTAAATTCTCTATATTCTCCTTTTTTTCCAAATGCTTTCCTACTTATTTCTTTTAGTAACATAACCCTCTATGTCCATATTTGTTTTTCTATAATGTATTTCTTGGCTTCATGTTGACCTTGATTGTTTACAAGCTGTCATTGTCTTGTCCCTTGAGTTTTTCGGTCACGGTTTGCGTTGTATTGAATGCTCCGTTGATTAAGACTTTGGGCAAACATTCAGTTATATTTGTGCTCCTATATTCAGTGCCATCCATTGAGCTTTCAAGTATCATTTTATTTTATCTAGCACTTGCAATTACTGCGGCTGGAAAAACAAAAGTCACGATATCTCGGAATAACGAAATGCGTTCATAATTTCAGTCACAGACGCCAACTAAAGCAAATAAAGTGTTCGCCGTAAACATGCCGGTTGCCACGTTGTGTTGTGATTTACAGCTAGGCTGCTTTATCTGCGCCATTCCGCTCAACACATCCGACTTCTTCTGCCTTCTGTTAGACATAGGCCTTCAACCAACACACGCCGTCGTTCTATCCTTCGCTATTGCAAGCAGCTCTCCCCAATGTCCTTCCTATCTTTTTAACGTTAATCTCTACCTCCCTTCTTCATGTCTTTTTTGGTCTTGCTCTGTTGCTACGCCCCTGTGGGTTCCAGTAGAAAGACTTTCTAGTTACAGTTTTCTTCCCGTGTGAGTTCCGGGGCCATGTTATAGGGAAAACAAGAATATGCCCACTGACTACCCAAAAGCATGTCGTAAGAATCGACTAATTGGGAGCTTTCTTTAAAGTTGGAGTGCATCTGCCTGAGAGGCAAGGAACCAACAGTCTGCATAAGAATTAGTCAGATCTGTCAAACGGATGCACACGCAATACTCAAGTTCTGGAACAGAACTGCAGTCAAGAAGTGGACGAACAACCAGAACTTTCCGCCAGAGTTAACAGCTGGTGAACTCGAAGAATAAGAAGAAAAAGAAAGAAGAAGAAGAAGAAGAAGAAGAAGAAGAAGAAGAAGAAGAAGAAGAAGAAGAAGAAGAAGAAGAAGAAGAAGAAGAAGAAGAAGAAGAAGAAGAAGAAGAAGAAGAAGAAGAAGAGGAAGGAAGAGGAAGAAGAAGAAGAAGAAGAAGAAGAAGAAGAAGAAGAAGAAGAAGAAGAAGAAGAAGAAGAAGAAGAAGAAGAAGAAGAAGAAGAAGAAGAAGAAGAAGAAGAAGAAGAAGAAGAAGAAGAAGGAGGAGGAGGAGGAGGAGGAGAGGAATAATAATAATAATAATAATAATAATAATAATAATAATAATAATAATAATAATAATAATAATAATAAGAAGAAGAAGAAGAAGAAGAAGAAGAGGGGAAGAAGAAGAAGAAACAGAAAAAGAAGAAGAAGATATTGTTTTCAGGTTTTCTCAACGTGTCTACTATCCTACGGCAGCGTCATTTCTTCAACTCTTAGGCCCCTGGAACTTGTTTAGTTCTCTCCCAAAGCTCTACATTATTTATTCATCATAACATTTAATTTCCTCTACTCTGCGCCGGCCCCAGTTAATGAATGTTTGGAGTTTGTTTTTAATTGCCACAGTTTTTCTCCAACTTTCCACTTCATACAGCTGTACTGATTTGACAAAAGAATTAAAAATTGTAAGTCTGGGATTCGTTTTAATTTCTTTCCGCAAATTTCCGAATGCTTTGAACATTCTCTTGCCTTTTGTTTTCGCATTTTAATGTCTCTATCAGTTCCCCCATCTTTATTTACATTACTGTCCAAAAATGTGTACGATTCCGCGTCTTGGCGTGGGGTACCATTAAGGGAAACCACATTACTATTTGCTTGATTTATTCTCATTATCTTTGTCTTTCCCTTATGAATTTGAAGACCTAGTTGTTGTGATCTCGCAGCAAGTTGATTTGATTTATCTTACGTCCGATTCCGTGAGTGGGACTGACAAGAAATACCATCAGCGAAGTCCAGATCATCAAACTGTTTTGTAGGGGGCCACTGAATTCCATTTCCGGTGTGATCAGTTGCTGTTTTCCTAATCCAATCTACTTAAAAAACAGGAGAGGTGACAAAAACATCCCTGTCGCACAATTGTTTTTTATTATTTTTTCAAATGTATCTATTAGCTTTTCTATTTAAAGAACTCGAGATTTCAAATCTTTATATGCTGTTTTTTCTAAATTAATAATATTATGTGGGATTCCATAGTACCCCATTAATTTCCAGAGAGATTCCCTATCAATGCTATCAAAAGCTTTTTCATAGTCTACGAATCCAGTGTAAAGTATTGAATGAGTTAAATACTTTGTTCTATTATTATACGTAATGTTGCTATCTGGTGAGTATACGATCTGTTTGGCCGAAGACCTGGTTGTTTATCTCTTATCTTTTTATTAATAGCATCTTTTACTCTTTCCAAAATAATCCTACATAATATTTTTTCAGGAACTGACAGCAACATAATTCACATCCGATTCCAGCAAATCCTTAATTAGTCGCTTTTATGACATGCTTGTTAGGTAGTAGTGTCCATATATATATATATATATATATATATATATATATATATATATATATATATATATATATATACATACATACACACACACACACACACACACACACACAACTCTTCAAAATAAACAAATAGATTTATTTACTTCGAGAACCTAAAGCAACAACCACCCCCCCCCGCCCCACACCCGTTGTCATCGCTGTTATGACAATCATCATCTACCCCGTCACCATCGCCATAATCATAAATTATTTTTTGTGCTATATTGTGGAGGAACTGTACTATAGTATCTGTCCCTACGCACATCTGTATGGCCAGCAATGGTGTTGCTAATCAGTTTGCAAGCATAAGCATTTTAGACCAAATTAAACGTTACCGGGTAATGGTCGTACTGGAGAAATTATCACGTGATATTTTCCTTCTCGTCGCTTCGGGCTTGAGAGTAGGCATGTATATCTAGCATCGTAATATTAGTAACTGGTAGCTCACACTCACTACAGTTTGCGCATGAGTGGCGTAAACATGCAGCGAGTGTTCTTTTCGCTAATACTGGTAGCAAGGTTTTATACTCCTCTTCTTCTTTTTCAGCATTCCGCCCCCTTGAGGTTCATTGCTGCAGATATCACCAGCCTCCATTCATCTCTATAGTTGGCCTTCTTTTTTTCTAGTTGATAACACCAAGTGTTTGCAGATCTCTCTGGACATTATCTCTCCATTACCGTCTTGGTCTGCCTCGTGGACTACGATCATTCATCTTGTTTGTGTATACAGTTTTTACCTCTCTGTCATCTGACATTCTTTCAAAATCCGATCATTACTGTGGAGACGGTACATGATTGTTTGGGGAAAAAAAAGTTACGCTACCTTGCATATCATACACAAAAGCAAAAAGGAAGTGACTGGCTTCCTCTCATCGTAGAAAACGCTTGGTTCAAAATCCAACCAATCAGTTACAAGTCTATATTGATCATTACATCATTGGTTGGGGATTATGCTCCACTGAGAAATGAACATAATAATATTATTAATAAATAATAACTGAAGAGCAGTTGAAACCAGACCTACTAAGTTTTCTTATTTCCACAGGTTATCCCTGCGACGTCAGTTCCAACCTCCAAGTATTAAATTTAGCGTCAGACAATTGGAGCAATATGTCAATGGGCGGTCATAGCATGCTTCCCGCCTCCCACGCTTCTCATGGCCAATACGGAGTGCTGATGAGTGCGGTTGGCAACATGTCACCCAATCAAAACTGTGGAATGTCAACATATCTTCGTAGCTCCACCCCTTATTCACTTTCAACATCTGCTGCATCCAGTCCTGGATTAGGAAATATGGCACCGGTAAGGATGATACTATTACATTGTTTCCCCGTGTAGGTTCTGGGACCACTAGGGAAAATAGTGGTTTAAGGCGAGGGGGGGGGGGGGTAGATTCACTGCCGCTAACGAGAAGTCTTAATATATAAGTAATTAAATGCTAGCTAAAATTTGATGTGGTAAACTTCAAAGCACAGATAATGCGATCTAGTCATAAACCACAACACAACGTACAACCCTAACTTTTAGAAGTACAAGCATAAAAAGAAAAAAAAATAAGTAGAAGAAGTATCAGTAGTAGTAGTAGTAGTAGCAGCTGCAGTAGTAATAGTAGTAATAAAGGTAGCAGTAGCAGCAGCAGTAGTAGTAGCAGTATTAATAATAACAACAGTAATAGTAGTTCTTCTTTAAGTATTTGTTATTGTCACATACCGCTCGTGTAGCGTGCCTGATTTAAGGATTTCTCCTTAAAAACCAACAGCACTCTGAAATAAATAATTTTGAGGCGACGGCTCGTATTGGTCTAAGGGATATCCCGTAGCCAATATACGCTCAACTTATTTCAGGAGTAAGACAACTCAAGTTCTGGCACTACAGAATATCTAGTAATCCTAGGCACAACTTGGCTGGACACCCCCACTACTATAAAAAAAAATAGCTCTCAGGCTATGATAGTATACTATCACAGCCATGTTAACACAGATTACACTTACTAATCACACAAACATAAAAGCTAGACAGTTTGAACAGTGAATGATGGACACTCAGTCAATAATGAAACTTTCTGAACATGTAATAAATGCAACACATACATTATATAAGAATCAGCAAAGAACTTCAAGAACCCATAGTGATATGAAGGACCAAAACTTCAAAAAAGATCTGACTGAATATGTAATAGATTCCCCAAGTCCGCCTAGATCATCATCATGATCATGTGGACGATTAACAGTGAAGCCTGGCAATAAACCAATTGACCACACTTATCTGAATCCCTGGTTTCTTGAACTATCTGGATGTTCAATCACTCTGTTGCTACGTTGAACACAGTCCCACACTAGACACTCGAACACTGGAGATACACCCAAGCTCCTGTAGAGGATCTCGGTTACCAAGTCAATCACTTGAGGCACAAACAAGCTTCCGGATAAATGATGGTGAAAGTACAACACACATAATGTTGTCTGTAGACCAACTGGAGGATTTCAATTAATTGGATGCCAAAAGTTTGGTTTACAACTGATGCCCAGCACTGGCTTAGACATAGGTGACTTCCTTGTTGATGGTTTTGTGGACCGCCGATTCACTGCCTGGCCTCCAAGGAGATATCATCCTGTATCAAGAAGGAACTCAGAATTAGCAGTCATCTCAGGGGTTACATGTCAAGCTGAGTTTATTAACATCCACATTAGTAATCATTCAGAGGACAGCTCTTAGGATAATGAGACAGTATAAGTCTCTAAATAGCATCTGTTGTTCAGTCAGTAACAGGGACAGGAGACGAGTAGCAGAGTGGAGACAGATAGACTCTATCAAACATAGAACATCAACTCTCCTCGCCTACCTCTGCACTTGTAGATATACATCCCATCTCTCTCTCTCTCTCTCTCCCATATATATTTTATACCTCCACAATCTGCCCACTTTACACACTGTGTCGTTGTGCTAAAATTAACCTCTGACGTAACATCGTCTTGTAGGCTGAAGTGTGACCCAGTTCAATATGTCCTCTAATCGACACAAACTCTGTCGGCTGGTTAGAGAATAATTAACTTGCTGGGTTTAATATCTTTATAATGGTGTGGGTCAGGTAGGGCACAAACTATTAGCCTGCGAAGGGAAAGGTGTGATTTCAGGGGCTTGAGTGTCTGGACACCAAGAACGGCCTAGTTATGTGCGGTCACACAGCTGAATCTTTCCTCCCTGCAGCAGCGGCTAACTTTATAGAGACATATATCATGGTACTAGTAAACTATAATCAACTTACCCAAGTTTAGGAAGTCAGGCAAAGAATGACCAGTCCTGACCTCGCTTGGCGTCTCTAGAAAAAAGTCCTGTATTGGTGCACCATGGAGTAAAAAGGCTGTCCGGAATTCGGAATATTATTCCAGAAAATATCTATCCCCCAGTTGCAAGTTTGAAAATGTAGACTTTTCAAAACAATTAGAGGGTATAGAAATATCTGTTCCACCAGATAGAGGTATATATCAATATGAGGGACTATATACCCACCGGACGGATTTAAATTTGAAATGTTACCTGCCCGCTAGGGGCGTCAACGTCACGACTAGTCCAAAGTGTAGGGTTTTGGTTGTTCACTCCGTGACAGTTATATATTTAATATTATTCCAAATATATTGGTTCATTTTGTGTGTGTGCCTTTTTAGCCCATAACAGTAATAAAAATGTCAAGAATAATAATAATAATTTAAAAATTAATCTGGTTCTTTTATATCAGCACATAATGATTATTATTATTGCGCTCTCATCAAGGCTTAAGCCTCTTCAGCCGTGCCTAAAAAAATATTATTATCTCCCTCCTCTCCACACTAACTGGAGATAATTTGTAAAAGTATTACTAAATAGCGACATGAGTATTGAAAAATTTGTATATTTTTCTTTTCAGGTTTCAGTTGGAGGTGGTGGAGTCCTTAACAACAGTCCTCAAGAGACACATATAAGTTCTAATTTTGAACATCTGGGATGTGACCGTAGCGCTTTTGCTTCCCATATGTCGCCAGCTACTCTTTCATTGGACATTGGACGAAGTGGGTGGAGCCACATGACTCCACCTCCTTTATGACAATCAACCACAGCACATGGATACTAAATCTTAAGTGTAATGTGTATGAACAGTTAAAGTTTCATTGGTCAACTTGGGAACAGTTCCAGAATGTGCGACCAGAAACAAGCCAATTAGGCTACAAAAATGAAAATATCGTGATTTAAGCCGTGAGCTCTTAAAGATTGGTCATTAACATGTTTTTCTTTTAAATATTCTCTTTGCTAAATTTAGCGATTAGAAAAAAAAAAAAAAAACTTTACAATAATTTATGTGCCATTCATATTTACAGTAATAATATTGCGTTAACACACAGTTCCTTCTGTTGAATGTCCGTGTTGGTGACTGTAAGGCCTAATGTATGTTAAAAAATATGTAAATAATCCTTTTGCTTCTTATAGCAATTACGGGAACTGGTCCCGCCCATATACACACTTATAAATAACAGTGGGGAGAAAGGACACTGTGATTGGACGGTCGGTCTACACCTTTAGCTGTCAGTCGGTCACATCTAAGCGTAAAATGTGCAAATTTTCTCTAGAGTTCCGTGTCTGCAGCGACAGTAGAATGCACTGTCTCGTGAGACCTAGGGGTTTGGGTTAGGGCCAGCAGCAGATTTTGTGCGGTCGTTAAAATCGCTAACTTGCTGTAGTGTGGAGGTCTCGTCACGGTAGATTGAGTTCTGGGTGTCCTAAGGTCGTAAATGTGTGTCACAGAATGATGCCGATCGAACACGGCCACGGCGACATCCCTGTGAACTTTGGAGAAGTCGACTGGGCTGATCAAGTATAATTGAAAGGTTGCGTAATGTTTAAGTGGGCGGGGCAGGGCCCGTAACTGTGTTAAGAACCTTCATTGTCTTCACAGTGAGGTGCATATATGGGTGACCATGGATGACAGTAAGCTGAATTTTCGATGATTTCAAAAATAGGACAGTGGGCAGGCAGATTGTCTGGCAGGTGAGAAGAAAGTGGGCCTGGAAGGTGGGCAGGTAGATGGCCTGGAAGGTATATGGGCAGTTAGGTGGGCAGGCAGACGACCTGGCAAGGAATAGGCAGGTGGATTGGCAGGCAGATATCTTGGCATGTGGTTGGGTAGATAACCTATCAGATAGGCGGGTAGACATCCTATCCGGTTGGTAGTTAGGTAGAAGGATAGGCATGCAGTTAGGCAGGCAGGCAGTAAGAACGAACGAACGAACAAACGAACTTTATTTTCAAAGGGTAAGAATTGGGCACGCAGGTCCGTCTAACATTCTGCCCTTCCACTCCGCTCCTTTCATAAAATTTTTCATTTGTACCTCATTTCATAGTTAATAAATAATAATAATAATAATAATAATAATAATAATAATAATAATAATAATAAAAATAGGAATGCACAATTACAAAGTTGAGAAATATTGAAAAGAAACAAAAGAACAAGAAAGAGAAGAGAAAAAAAATTTACAATATCTAAGTCTTAATTACAAATGCTGGAATGTGCTCCAATGTATACTGACATTACTTAAACGTTTTAAAGAGTATATAGGTGCGAACAGTCACTTTCATGACTATAAGAACCATGTGGATTGGGCAGGTGGGTAGAGTGGAGTCGCCAATGACTTTCTTTTTCTCTATGTTAGGTCAGTTTGTCAACAGAGAGGCGGTATTAGGAAAAACGAAAGATCCTGTCTCTGTTTGGGGTTTAAACTCTGACCACTGTCTCCAGGGACCAGGGCACCAACTACTGGGCCAGCAAAGTTCCTTCTTTGGGCAAGGAAACCACATTCCTTGCCCGTGAACTGCGTGGCACTTGCTTGAACAGACCCGTCTTTCTCTTCCTTCAAAATAACCCTTTTGCAGATAAACACCTATGTTGTTATTGTTGGCACCTTTCCGTCTTTTCAGACAATAGTTATATTGCACTATTAGGAGGCATAGCCTGTCTTGTTTACTCCAAAGAATAAGAAACGTCTGTAGTTTCGAACAAAGTATGCTGCCGATTCTGCTGGATCGAAAAAGCAGCGCTCTATCTGTTCCTCTGTCGGAACTTCTCTACAAAGCTAAGGGCCAGATCTGGTCTGTCATAACACTTAAGTTTTAGGCTGTTTCCTCTTCCTATGATAATACAAAATAGAAATAAATACCAGCACGGCACAGTCTGATGATAAATTAGTAAGAGAATGCTCTGGTATAAACTGCCACAGAGAGTTAAGTTGAGCTGAGTTGAGTCAAAAATTGGCTTCACAGAAGTCGGGGCATTCCTATGCCTGCTCTGTCCTCATCTTCAGCAGCCA